ATTCCGGCTACTTGGAAGGTTGAGGTGGAAGGGTCGCCGGAGCCCAGCAGGTCGAGGCTGCGGTGGCCGGGAGTGGCCACTGCACTCCAGTCTGGGCGACAGAGTGAGACTCCAACTCAAAAAAAAGCTCCATAGTCTCCCGTTGTTTATGAAATCATCTAAACTTCTTAGCATGGAATTTGAAGCCCTCCCCAATCTGAGGCTAAAGCCACTGTCCCAGGCCACCATCCACCAGCCAGGACTCTTCCCACCCGCCTTGGTCTGTCTTCACTTTCGGAAAGTTCCCTTAGGGAAAGTCTACCCATAAAGTCCAACTTAAGCCAACACTTTCTGTAATACCTTTTCTGAACTCCACCGTGACTCCCCTGCTGGGACTGCACAGTGTTTGTCGTGTACCTCTATTACAATGCTTTCTACATGTTCTCTCCTATGGATCCTACATCACTTACAGTCCATGGATTGCACCTCATCTGTGTTCAACATAGTGTTCAACATTGGCCCTGTGGCTTATGCATAGTAGTGTTTGAAGACAAACTGAGGCACATTAAAATATTAAGGAGTTTATCTGAGCAAACAAGCATTCACAAGTAGGCAGATCCAGACTTCTAGACTACTAGTGGTTCTGGATTCTGTCCAAGGGACAGGAGAAGGCAAAAAAAAAATTAAGTGGTTACAGTGAAGTAATAGCCTCATTTGGATCATGCTGAAGAATGTCCCTACTTAGAGGGTAGTTGGAGGTTTCTGATCGGTTAAGTTTAAGTTTTGTTTTACCGTTTCCACGGAGTTGGGTTTCCGTTTGCCTAAGTAGGAACCCAGGATATTGGAGCTGCTTCAGCCTAATGACGTCCCAATAAATTATTTTAGCAATAGATATTCAACAACAGTACGTCAGTTTTAAAAATCTGTCCTGTTACTAGGTGCAAGCATTGTGCTAGGCAGTGAAACCTTTTATTATCACTAGGTGATAGTATTGGTGTCACAACAGCTGCAAAAAAGGAATTGTTTTTGTCACTGGCCAAATGGCCTTAAATATTGTTGAGACAACAAACCTACAATCTAAAAACTATATAAAAGAGTCTATAATTAAATGCTCTGTTCTTAGTCCCATTTATATGTATACATAGTTGCCTATAAAGATCTCTAAGAGGCCAAGAGGGCACAGTGGTTCACATCTATAACCCCAGCACTTTGGGAGACTGAGACAAGAGGATCACGTGAGGCCAGGAGTTCGAGGCTGGCCTAGGCAACATAGTAAGACCTCATTTCTACAAAAAATTTTAAAAATTTTAGTGGTGGTGTGCCTGTAGACTTAGCTCCTCAGGAGACTGAGGTGGGAGGATCACTTGAGCCCAACATTTCAAGTTTACAGAGAGCTATGATTGCACCATTGCACTCTAGCCTGGGCCACAGAGTGAGAGCTTGTCTCTAATAAATAAATAAATAAGTAAATAAAAGATCTTAAAGAGGCTTTGTGTACACTTTTAAACTTACAACTTGTTTTAGAAAGGATAGAAATTTGAGAAATGATTCCTTGAAATAAGTACATTTGCTAAAATTAAGTCCAAATTCATTGTACAATTGCTCTCAAGGTAATCTAATTTTAGGTCCTGCAACAAATGAAAAATGACTATAGTGAACAAGAAGATATGCTTCGTGATGGTGAGCAACTTTTGAGGTCATCAGTTCTAAAAAGAAAGCTTGACTGAACTGTCGATGTGTTTTTCAGTTTCTTTCTAGTCCATCAAATAACCTAAGTTATTCGACTTTTAGAATTATTTAAAAAAAAAAAAAAAGATTCTGTGGAATTCCAGAAAGGACACACCAGACGGGTAAGGACTAGAAGTGGGGGTGAACTGGTGACTGGATTATGGTAGGACAGGATGGAGGAAGATGAGAGTCTTTCCAGGTGAATCTTTGACGGTTCACAGATGAGTTCTCGGTGTGCTACTGGGTGAAAAGGCTGAGAAACCTAGCTTAACCAAGTGCTGATGACTTTTGCGGTCTGTGCTTCAAGATCCAGGTCCCTAATCTTGATCTATAAAGTGTAAAAAGGGTTCGTGAATAGAGCACTGGATTAGAAGTCTGTATTTTCTGACTTCCAAGAGCCTGTGAACTTCAGCAAAACAAAACAGAAAAGACTGATTCAGCAGTATGGGAGGTGGCTAGGCCTCATTCTGGGTTGAGCTCAGAATATTATCTGTGTCCCTCCAAAATTCATTTGTTGAAACCTAACCCCCAAAGTGAGGGTATTAAGAGGTGGGGCCTTTGGAAGGTGACTAGGTCATAAGGGTGAAGCCTTTACAAACGGAATTAGTGCCCTTATAAGAGACCTCAATGAGCTCCCTCACCCCTTTGACACGCGAGGACACTCATCAGACACTCAACCAGTTAGCACCTTGATTTTGGATTTCTGTTGTTTACAAATCATCCAATCTAAGGTATTTTGTTACAGCAGCCTGAATGCAGTAAGACAATGTTTCAGTGGATTAAAGCAAAAAACACATTTTCAGAAGTTATTTGTCACTTATTTCCATGACAATCATGAACTTTAAAAGATACTTTAGATTGACATTTGGATAAACAGGCACTGACCGATACTCCCCATAGATGACACAATATTAGTTGCATAATTGTTTCAGGTTCATACAAATAAAGTCTTAATTAGTACCACAGAAATCCTGCAGACATTTCCATTCACCTGGGATGTTATTTGTTAATACTGATTTCAGTATGCTCACCTCATTGAGTATAGGTCTGAACACAGGCCCTGCCTGTGAACTTACGAGGCCAGCATCATCTCAGTTGTGCTTCTTTCTCTGTCCTGACACCAGGGACCTCGCGCTGCTGTCTAGCAGGTACTAATCCTCTTTCCTTCTGCCATCCATAATCCTCTGAAGCATGTGCTTTAAGATGACTTAAATGCCTGCTGCTTTGAAATGATTTCTTTTCTCATTGTGCCATGGCAAAATCGAAACTCCTATCCCCTAATTTGAGTGATTCCCCTAATTTGAGTGATTTCTGCAGGAGGGACAGCAAGGTGACAAATGAAATGAAGGGAATCCATGCTAGGGTGTGAACCCAAGGTCAAAAGACTTCCCATCCCTGACGCCCACACAGGCAGACCGGTAGCTCTCCTGAAGACACCCACTGTTTCGACAGGTGAATGAATGCATACCTGACGTCCAGAAATGTGACTAGGTAATTAGTGAGAGGGAGGCGAAGTCAGGAGGCGGAAGATTCCTGGCAGTGGGTGGGGTGGGACGCCTTCCGGGCGATTTCTGGCAGTGGGTGGGGTGGGACGCCTTCCGGGCGCTCTCAAATCGCACTGCCTGCTCGAAGGCTTTTCCTCGCCGTCTCACCCGTTGCAAGGATCCAGCCACAACATCAGAAGAGGTGCCAATTTCAAAGCCATTGCTCCCTGGGTGGGCTCGATGGGCGGCAGATTAAAGGGGAAAGAGACCACCCACGGGGCACGGTTCTTTTATGTCGGGCCTCTGAAGCACTCACAACACGTTATCACTATAACCCTATCGAATGTACTTAGAACAATACATCCCTTCATAACTCAAGCCAGGAGGCATTCAAGGTGTCCGCGCTGTGTATGCTACACTGGTCTTTAGTCTGCGACTGGCCTGTAGTGTTGACTCTTCTGTCTCTGCTCCGGTAACAAGCGTCATTTTTACTTCCTGGAGGGGGCACGACCCGCGACTCCCTCTC